CGCAACACGAATGTGACCATCTCAAATTGCCGCTGCTCGGAGACAGCGCACTGTTAGATAACATTTCTGTAAAAAAAAAAGAAGCATAGATAGCATTTACTTCAAAACAAAGACGCTTCAAAGTCATCGAACATAATTATTTGACACAGCAAAGATTTTCACGTTATTTTGGAAAGTTTCATGGAGATCTCGTTAAATATAAATAAAAAATATCAAAAACCGATATGTTTACCTATGTCGGTACGCCGAGTATTGACTACGTATATTGCTAGTGATTGATTTCAGTTTGAGAAGCATAAATCGCGCCATTATTAATTTCCAAAATATATTAATAAATAACATATAATTAAACCTATCGCTAAGCCAGTCGAAATATAGCTCATGTTTATTTTATTTATGTATATTATTTATTATATTATCCAGTTATGACAGGTAGTAGGAGATGATCTAAATTAGCACATCTGCAACATCTTCTAGATCGGTATCTTATAGAAACCCATCCTTCTATAAGCAATCTGCGGCGCGCCATACAAATAATAATGCTACAACAAGTCATAATTGATCTGTTTTTTGAAGTTCAAACGTATGGTAAGTACATTGGCTTGCATTTGTCACTGTTTTAGATCTGCCACGGAATAACTTTACATTCGACTGTACTGAAAATAGCTTTTTCCGGTAGTACCCATATGCATACAACAGCAAAAAACAACACGAACAATACGCCGTTTGTCATCAAGAGTCAATCAAATGGTTTGTCTCTCTTTTCGGGTTTCTTACCGAAAAAAGAACCCGTGATGAGACCACCTGCTGTTGTGGGCATCGTCATATGAACCTGCCTTAATGTTAACAGCTCGCCGGTAAAATCTGCCAGGTACAACTGGGGACGAAGATTATACTATACTCCACCGCAGTGCATCGTACATTTATTCGACGTTATTTAGATGTTATACTCGGCGCCGAAGTCGTTTAGGACACTATACTGCACATACGTATGTCGCTCGAGCGTCCATTGTGAAACAATTTTTTTTTTAAACCCAGCTGTTTCTAACAACATCCGCTCGATCCGTTGCTACGTGACGGTACCCTAACTATATATGCTATATATGTAGGCTATATAACGTTATTAGATTTTCAAAGTAGGAACAACAGTTATGCATAGGAAACTTATTCGAATCTCTGCCTATGTCTATACCTGAGGACAGCAGAGACATATTCCATTACTGTACCTGCATTGGTTTCCAGAATTCGTGAATTTTCTCTAACGGACAAAGAAATACGGGCATGCGTATTTTCTATCGACTTCGAAATTCTCTGAAAGTAAAGGCATCTACATAGACATAGTTCCTCGACTGTTTTCTTTGAGACAACGCAGATCGACACAGGGGCAGCTGATATATATATATATGAGAATATTCGAAATTAAGTCGCGGTTCTCATTTAAAAATGGTCGTTCATTGATGGGTCGTTGTCGTCAGCGAATTTTGCTTAACAGGCTACAGGAAATACTATTATAAATATTGTATGTCAAAATGGCTCAATGTTATGATTTCACATACAGGAACATGATCCAGGTATCGTTGCCTCAGTTCATGTTCCACACGAAGGCTTCGCATACTCTTCGGAGTTTTATTTATGATCTAAGGTATCACCACCATCTACTTCCCATTCTATTATTCGAAATAGTGAAAAATCTACGTTGTGTTACTCTAGTCGCACCAACGTTACGTCGGATGCGTTTGACAAACTATGTCTGTTTTATGACGAATGTAGATAAGAATGAGTAACTTATTTAGGACCCGTAATTGACAAGCACCACTTTTTCTTACAACGCCTGCTGTGGACCACACATAGGAATATCTGCATTACGAAGATGGCGCTGATCAGATGTTTATTAGGTTATTATTATGAGAGACACATGTTTATTAGGTACACATACAGCCTGGTCAGCCAGCGTGTCACAGATGACAAATATTGCCTGGGCCATTATTAATGATACGCCTGCTTAGGACGGTGTTCGGCTCATGTCTGATGCTGACTGTCAGTTGAAAAGTATTAGTTTCGAAACTACTAGCTACCTAGGCGTTTTTGTATCTTGCCAATTGTTATGCAATAACGATTCTGGTCCTGCTGCAAACTATGCTAATAACAATAGTAGGTTTTGTCCGAGCGTTATATTACGACAACACTTATTGAAATTTTTCCTCAAGAAAATCGGCTTTTCATCGAAGTTTTGGACAATATTGTTGCTCGTTTGGGTATTATTATAAAAATCTAGAGACTATTGAACATTCTGTTAAGGATGTCATCATTTTAAGGTATTTTAGAAAAAATATTGTTGTATCTACTAGATAACGTAAATATAATGAAATTCGACTTCACACTTCGTTGTTACGCAATAAACGAGGCTAATCTCTCGCAGCAAGTCCTCATCCGGTTTCTAGATATACCTACAGGCAAAGTAAACTTCGGGGGCGGAACGTGTGTATCATCAGCTATTGTATATGCATATATTAGCTTTACGACCTTGAAGCTTCTCAGTGTCCACTTTAACCTGCGATTCGCAAGTTTAGGTATTTCGGTCACATTTTCAGAGTATATTTAAAATTGAATGTCATGAACATTGTTAGGTCGGCATAGATGTTGCATGATACATCATCCGGAGATATTTCACAGTAGATATAGCGGATTTAAAACAATATATCAAAAGGCTTCACTGCAAACATTTTGAGGCCGCTTTCTTCTCATCTGAATCGGACACGTTTACTTTAACACGGAGCATCCTATCGTGTAGGAAGGTTTTTGTCTACTTTCTTATTTTCGGCCCTGATTCATATAATGAGCTATGTCAATGACTTCACGGTGTATGTAACGGTTCAAACGCGGACCATAGTCAAGGTAGATGATAATAATATAGTCTCACACATTAAAGTTAAATTTTAGCTTCAATACTGGCTTTACACGGACCGAAGACTTGTAGAAAACTGGTCCGTAGACGGAACGTTCATCTGTTATTGCATCATAAGCTGGAAGTTTACGTTGCCTTAAATGTGACCAGCCTAAGAAACTTCCAGTGTACCGTCGTCACTGACACACCCACGCCCTTCCTTGGCACAAGATTTAGTACAGGCGCCTAGAAAATTTCGTTTTTATATAAACGCATCATTGTTACCTTTAAATTCAATGTATCTTCACGGAATATTATATTACGTAGTTTAATAAAGTGTCCCAATTGCGGATATTGCAAGATTGACGCTTGAAATCGAATCAGCTCGAAAAGCCGTGCTCTCATAGAATTGTGCCATAATGCATAGTATGTGACAGCTTTTCTGCTAATTTTCGTAACTTGACAATAATTTTGCCACGGTACATGTACCTACATCAGCATTAACAGAGCTTTAAGTGAGTCACAGAAGGGACCATTTCAATCAGCATTTAAATTGTTGATATACAAAGCAAACATTATACTAACGTATGGCTGAGGATGCGTGACGCACCGCCAAAACCCATAAGAAACAATCACACACAGATAACAATTATGCAATCACTCCCCTAAAAGTATTTTTTAAGACAAAATTGCTAACAATGTACCGCAGTTTTCAAGCTATCATTTGCCTCTTCCTTGGACTAAATAGATCTGTCAACAAACCAGAGACTTCTTTTAACTATTGTCTATCGACTATTAGGTTCACAAGTTCCACTGGACTGCTCCTGCATGAGTGAGGGTTATGCTAAAAATAGCAAGTAATCGGCATCCTAGAACAGGTGTCGTTACGCTGCGACTCCTGAACGGTACCAATATTCTTCCCATAGGATATCCAGCAGAAAAAGGTTCGCGCCCTATTAAAAATATTGGTCAGATCTCAGAACTCATATCATGCATATCTACACTCATAACTACTCTTTGAATATTAGAAAAGCTGTAGCCTTCGTTTTATATTGGAACGCAATTCTATGCTTTCAGTCTCTGAAATAAAATCGATGGTGGTTCCTTGCGGAATAGTTTCAAAACATCTACTCAGCCATATTTCAGCGAGACACAAATTGAAATGCTTGTCTATTTATAACTTTAATACATGGTTGTGTTTAGTACAGCTGTTCGTGCAAGTTTTTGTGACTGCAGAAATTACTTTCCATTCTAAATATTATATGATACTAATTATATGCCGTCATGTCAAGTGTCGACTGCGTGTATATCAAAGTAATATTGCGTAATTATAGATAATCACCAAGATGTCTCTTGAAACTGGCACTTTCATGGAGTCAATGGTACCTCCGGTGTGTAAATATGAACAATCTAATAGACAAGTTTCAATTAAACAACCTGTGGATACAGATAATATAAGTTATTGAAAGAAGATAAACTTATTTCCACATGCTAGTTAAATTCAGTGACGGATTACAATGCTTAATGTGGCCAGGTATTTTAGGTAAACACCAATATATTTTTTCTACAAAAGTAATCGATTTCCGATCAGCTACGCCAACTCAGTAAATCGAAGCTAACTGTCAATGATTCTCACCAAATCTTCCTACATTAACATAAACTAGACGAGATTTTGTAGGGTTTCAATCATTATTAGTATCGTAACTGTCTCATATAAGACAAAAATCTATAATATATATATACCAGTGATAGTGTTGCTGATAGCATGTTTCTGTGCTAAAGTATTGGTCAAGGTACGAATCCCGACGTAGATATACTGTTTCGTGCTGCTAGATACCACCTGATGACGTAGAGTTCGAGGTAGTCAGGATATATATATAGAACTAAGCGTATGTGCTTGTGAGAAAGAAGAGCTTTTCGTGCTAGATTTCTAGATAGCCATCTCCCTTTTCACTGGCGTACACGCTAACTTCATAGATTTTTTAAAATTTCTTTATGAGATTTATAGAGTTCAGTGCATGTAAAATGTTTGAGAAGAATGATATATGATTACTAATAAAGATAGAGCAAACTATGGTAATAAAACAAAATATAAAGCAAAACAATAATAATTTGATTAACACAACTTTTCCTTTCTTATTCGCATGCTCATTGATCAGATACATTGAAAACCTATTGCTTGCGGTAAAGTAATACACTTCCATACTATTTACAAGATACTAATCGGACTAGAAAATTAATACTTATTAGCGCTACAGTGTTTTTCAGAAAGCTTTTCGGAGTAACGTCTTATTTAATACACAGAAGTTTAGATATACACATATTATACTTAGTTGGCTTCTTGTTGACTAGATACGTTCGGTTATATCGATATTTTCGTCCAAGAGGAGTCCGCTTGTGGGAAGTCCCCTCTTGTCGAGAGTAGGTTAGGAAAGCCCAAAAAATCATTGACTAGATGATCGGTCTCGAAGGTCATACTTCATTGAGAATAACACAATGAGCAGTTGCAATATTTGCGCGATGGCATTACAATTGTAAGCTGAAGATCCTTTTACGAAAATTCTGACTGGATTCGAATTCAACAGCTAATTGATTTAAAGATCAGCATCAGTAGCTTAAATTCGTTGTGGTAACAAACCTCAAAAGGTTGATTATTCCATTGAATCCAAGTTTGCGATACCTTTCAACGACGAATAAGATGATGTCTTCACTTGCTAAATAGGTTATTGTACGACGTACATTTGTATTTGTCTTCTTGACGTACGAATTTCCCTTCCCAGCGAACTGACATAATGCCTTCTCTCGTTTTACCTGGTCATTATTATTATTATTAGTGGCGGAAATTCGGCTTATGTTACAGCTCTTATTTTTTGTCCGGTGGAATTGTCGTCGGTGGAGACTGCCGTGACCACCCCCTGTCGGATGTCCTTCACTTGGCGATACAAGAAAAAAATTCGATAAATTGTTTTGCATCCATAACCTGTTCTCCTTAGCGACTAGCGAGCTGTCAGGTACAAACGCTTCGGTTATTATCTCGTCGCTCTTTCTGAGAAGTCAGTCCAACGAGCGCACTTTTGACTAGACTTGTTGCGGATTTCACAGCTGGCGCGGATATCTGTAAATAGAATGACATACTCGATTATTGAAACTATATGTAACGACTTTATTAGATATCAGTGAGCACAAATTTGCTACGAATCACTTACCGTAAAGAGTGAAAAAAAAATGCTGATACGGAGTACTCACATGGCCTAAGCTTCCGTTTCGACCCCTGTTACGCGAGCAACAACTTTCTTTAAAGGTGACTACGGCTGCGGTAAACGTACCCAACGGAACCACGTTTTCCTTGTTAAAAATGTAAAGATGTTTGGCTGAATCCCTAAACGGTTCCCCTCGGCTATGTACATCCTTGATGATCTTCTGTTCGACGAATTTCTGCAAGAGAAGTGTCACCTTCTCTCGGGTAATTTCTGCTCGTGGAACTGGCTTAACGCGTTGTCGATCGCACTGTACTGAGGCGCCAAGCATGGCGTCTCTATTTTTCTCAATGTAGTTCATCGTCCATGAAACAGCTTCGTCGCCTAGAAAGCAATCCTCAAAGTTTTTTAGCCCTTTGCGATGACGACCAACGGGCAGCTCTTCGCGTACTGCTGTCACGATTGTATGCCAAAATCGTGTCGCACGAAATTGCTCCGCTTGGCAGGTAACGGCCTTGCAATCCATATCGAGAACCGGATCATTAAATTCAATCGATATAGTTTATAGTATCCAATCGGCTAGCCACACTGGTCCGCTATGGTCGTAGTGCCGCGTCTTTCCTTTACTTCACTATTGCTAAGCTTTGTAGCACTGCTTTTGAGTGCACTTCATCGTTTGTAGGCCAGCCACGATGAACTCATTTTGTCTAGGTTCAGACAGCCGATATGATTTCATTTGCTGGGCGCACGCTGTCTATTAGTGATCTACACATAACACAACCCTTTCTTCATCCATGTGTTAGCAAAGAGGGAGTACGTTGAGTCGGCTGACCCTCACCAGTCAAAACAACGCTCTTGAGTGTAATATCTAACAGCATAGTAATCACATAGCTTTACCCGGACTGAACTACAGTTGTTGCCACGGGCAAGGGCAAGACGTCGGCGCGGCTGCCCGTTCGTCAAGCCGTAACCGGCACGATTTATTTTGTGACAAAGATAATGACTAACGACCCTATTGTACCTACTTGGCTGTCTACTGAATTCACCTATCGACTTTACGCCCGCCATCACGATTATCCTATTTCTTATATTAACTGAAAAATAACTTTCAGGAAAACACTGAAGTGTCGAATTTCCGCAGTCACGATGAAGGAAAGCTACAAAAATTGTCAAGCGATTCCATCGTACCACCGACATATTGTGGCAACATCATAGGATTACGAACGACATGGTGACGTTGGTCGTTATAAACTGATAGCTTGTTTTTTAATCGTTTACTTGTGTTTTTTTACGGTAGATCTTGCCGTCGTCACTGGACGTACTTCAGAAGCTGGCTTCTGGAAGCTGGGATAAAGGGAGGCAAAACGTTTCGGCATCGACCGAATAGAGCGCTCGTTTGTTGTATATTTTAAGTGTGTTTCGGGTATATACCATTCCCCCGTAGTAGCCTAGCGGGAAACGCATTTGGTTGGATGTACAAGGGCATGTTATGATCTAGATTCGAACCCGGACATACGAAGACTTTGTTTTGTGCTGGAGGCCAACCCCCTGATGGAATGCATAATGCTAACCGGATGTAAAACTCGAAACACAGAGGTAGAAAGCTTTGGGCGGTCAAACTTGAAATGACTTGACATGAGAAGTTCGTTTAATTATAAACGGCATATATCATATGTCAAAACATATCCTCAAGCTATACAAGTAAAAATTTAATGAATGAGGGTCTTGGTTACTGTGGGAAGATTATCTTTGTACGAACATCTATACCCAAAATGGCTGTTCACTGATCCCATAATAGAGTAGTGAATAACATCTTTACGTACTAAGCTTAGAAACATCTGGTGGTTTAGATTTGATCCTGGCATACTAACATCTCGTTTCGTTCGGGAAGCCAGTTGTTTGAATTAATGCTTACTAGCACTTAAGTGCAGGGCGTAGAACAGGAAAACTCGAACAAAAGTGTTCCCAAGATGCATGCATTTTCTACCAGCGAAGTTGATGAATCTTATAAATAATGCCGTAATGCTCACGAAGCATATTTTCGAAACAGAGCTGAATGGCATTTTTTCGAAAAAAAACAATTCGTTGATTAGAGAACTTGTTTTTAAATTAAGAATTCCTGTTGGAATCGATACAGAATTACGCAAAATGAATCGAAAATAGTATTATGTTA